ATAAGTTCCCATAAACGTGGATTTTTTAAAGATTTTTTAAAGATCCATCAGGTCCCATAAACGTGGATTTCTTAAAGAATTTTTTAGAGATCCGTAAGGTCCCATAAACGTGGATTTCTTAAAGAATTTTTTAAAGATCCATTAGGCCTCATAAACGTGGATTTTTTAAAGAATTTTTTAAAGATCCATAAGGTCCCATAAACGTGGATTTTTTAAAGATCCATTAGGCCTCATAAACGTGGATTTTTTTAAAGAATTTTTTAAAGATCTATTAGGCCTCATAAACGTGGATTTTTTAAAGAATTTTTTAAAGATCCATAAGGTCCCATAAACGTGGATTTTTTAAAGATCCATTAGGCCTCATAAATGTGGATTTTTTAAAGATCCATTAGGCCTCATAAACGTGGATTTTTTAAAGAATTTTTTTTAAAGATCCATAAGGTCCCATAAACGTGGATTTTTTAAAGATCCATTAGGCCTCATAAACGTGGATTTTTTAAAGATCCATTAGGCCTCATAAACGTGGATTTTTTAAAGAATTTTTTTTAAAGATCCATAAGGTCCCATAAACGTGGATTTTTTAAAGAATTTTTTAGAGATCCATAAGGTCCCATAAACGTGGATTTTTAAAGAATTTTTTAAAGATCCATAAAGTCCCATAAACCTGGATTTTTTAAAGAATTTTTTAAAGATCCATAAGGTCCCATAAACGTGGATTTTTTAAAGAATTTTTTTTAAAGATCCATAAGGTCCCGTAAACGTGGATTTTTTAAAGAATTTTTTAGAGATCCATAAGGTCCCATAAACGTGGATTTTTTAAAGAATTTTTTAGAGATCCATAAGGTCCCATAAACGTGGATTTTTTAAAGATTTTTTTAGAGATCCATAAGGTCTCATAAACGTGGATTTCTTAAAGAATTGTTTAAGGATTCATAAGGTTCCATAAACGTGGATTTTTAGAGAATTTTTTTACCCCGAATTTTGATGGATAGTCTTTTATTACAAAAATCCACTCCTTCACTACCCCGCATCAAAGAAAGATAATAAGTATTTAATTTTTGGAATATTTTTTATTCCTTTTTCATAATTTTCTGTTGAGGGAAAGTGTCTTTGGTGATGGGAATTGTCTGCCTATTTAACCGCTTCTGTTCTTCCTGTTGCGACGGGTAATGCGGCGACGTCTTTGCAGGCGCTTCCTGCGATTGCGGCGAATCTTGCGATTGCGACGAATTTTACGATTGCGACGAGCTTAACGGTTGCGGCGTATCTTACGATTGCGGCGTACCTTACGATTGCGATTACGACGACGCACCTGTCGAACCTTGTTGCGATTGCGACGGGTACGGCGCACCTTTCTCAGATGACGATGGCGGCGAGCACGTTCACTTTCAGCATCGGTATCATCGGCAGCGGCAGCATCAGTAACGTCTCCGTTTTCTTTCATTTCTCTCTCATCAACTTCATCGAGAGCCAGGAAACGAGGAGTAGTTGGAGCAGGAGGCGAGGTGGCAGGAGGAGCAGTTGCAGGAGGTGAGGTGGCAGGCGGTGAGGTGGCAGGTGGAGAGGTTGCAGGTGGAGAAGTTGCAGGTGGTGAAGAGGCAGGAGGTGAAGTGGCTGGTGGTGAGCTAGCTGGTGGTGAGGTCGCAGGCGGTGAAGTATCTGATGGTGATGTGGCTGGTGGTGAGCTGCCTGTTGGTGAGGTAGCTGGTGGGGAAGTGGCTGGTGGTGAGGTTGCAGGAGGAGATGTAGCTGTTGGCGAAGTCCCGCCACCGGTGGTGGGTGAAGTAGGAGCAGCAGGACTAGTAGGTGGCGCTGTGCCTGTGGTAGGAGAAGTTCCACCACCAGTTGAAGTTGAGGTGGTTCCAGTCGTTGTGGGTGCGGTACCTGTACCTGTACCTGTGCCAGTTGTTGTGGGGGTAGTTGGTGTCGTCGGTGTTGTAGGTGTCGTTGGTGTTGTGGGCGTTGTAACGGTGCCTGTTGCTGTAGGAGCCACCGTGGCTGGTGGTGGTGCAGGTGTTACACTGAATTGCGTTTTACCCATGGCACCAAGTTTGGTGGCAAAACCACCTCCACCACCACTGCCGCCACCCTTGAAGAAGAAACCATTGACCAGGACGTTGGAACCCAAAAGGGTTACACAGAGAAGGAATAATTTTAAATTCATTTGGCTTGAATTCTCAATGCAAGTTGACTGTTGCTGAGAACAAATGAATTTGATGCTGTTGGAGATACTTTGAAGCTGTTTTATAGTTAATCCATCCATAGCCTTGTCTTGGCTGATCGATGTTGAGAGAATTTCGAATATTATGAGTTTTTTGGTTAGTAAGCAATGATGTTTGTTTGAATAGTTGTCAAATATTGTCGGCACGTGTTGAGGCGAAACTCATGCCGGTCGAAGATGTTGATGTTTTGCAGTTTCAACTTCGAAGTAATTTGACAGCTGTATTGCTGCGTTTAATTTACAAGGTAATGTGGCGAGAACTTTCTTGTATTGGAATGAAGGCGTAAGCACCTGAGGTGTATGTTTGGCTCGCATACTATTCGGCTTTCGGCTTCCAAATTCTCCTGCATGAATAACGTAAACCAATGTTACTATTTGGAAAAAAATAAATCCCAGCGTCTCACACTTTTCGTCAAGGTCATGCTCAATTAGTTTTATGGGTACACAAAAACCGGAGGCCTTGACTTGAAAAAAAGGACAATTTTTGTAGATTCATACACCTAGAGGAAAATGTACAATGTGGCCACCAGAACTCAAGCGCCGGCCATGGTGATGGTGTGGGCCGCCATAACAGCCGATGGTCGCACTCTGCTCGTATTAATCCACCGTGGGTGGCATCAGAATAAATGCCTAATATTATTGCGAAAATATTCTGGAGGGTGTACTAAAGCCTTGGGCATGCAAATATTTTGGCCGCAGACCTTGGACATTCCAACAGGCCTCAGCACCATCGCCATAATCAAGTGCCACCCAAGAATGGTTACAAAATGAGATTCCTCGCTTCATTTCCAGCGCACAATGGCCACCAAAATATCCGGATACCAATCCGTTGAAGTATTGTGTCTGGAGTATTTTGGAAAGCAAAGTTGGCACTAAAAAATACCAAATTGTCGATCACCTCAAGCAAGCGCTTCGCCGGGAATGGACCAAAATACCGCAGAGTAACATTCGGGCAGCGTGTGACGGTTTCATTGGCCCGTTTGAAAGCCAAAATTCATGCCAAAGTTTAGCAATTCGAACAAATCTAAAGATATTCTAAAGTTAGATGCTATTTCCGACATTTTTTGCTTTTCCGAACTTTTAATATCATCCACCATTTGAAAGAAGTAGAAAAATTTAAAAAAACTCCGAAGACTACCACTTAAATGAAATCCGTTATATGGGGACTATATGAAGACGTGGGCCTTTTTACGATTTTTTTTCATAGGCTGTAGTACCCATTACGAGCTTCAAAATCCCGAATATCGGGCGGTATAGTTATATGGGGTCTATACAAAGACGTGGACCGACATGGCCCATGTTCGAACTTGGGAGTATGGCGGTATCAAATTTAACTATTTTTCAAGTCCATGTTTTGTGGGGTCTAGGGATGTTAATTATACCCTCATCCGTATGGCTACAGAGGGTATATATCATTTGATACGGCCAAAACGAAATAACGGTTTTAGACTCTAGGTCTCTTTGAACCAAATCCGTTTCAGAACATTTGGAGTCGATCTAGCGATGTCCGTCCATCTGTCTGGCTGGCTGGCTGGTGCGCGCCATAACTCTCGAAAGGAGTATCCGATTTGATCTAAATTTGGTACATCGTAATATTATTGTCAAACTTAGATCGAGTTCGGAGATGGGCAATATCGGTCCACTCCTTCTGGTACCTCCCCCACAAAAGGTCGAAATTTTCAAAAAATATATTTTTTGCACAGTGTGACGACGTGTTTTCACTTTGAAGCTGGGGTAGGTTCAGCGGGGGCCAGAGTCGTCACAAAAATTTATTTGTTAGGACATAAGGAGAGAGAGAGAGCGAAGCAAAAATATTTTCTTAAAACGTTATAAATTTATTTCCTTAAATAACACTAAACACTACACTAAACACAATAAAATCACGTTCAGAACTTTTTACGAAGAACACTAAATCACAAAGTTCAGTCGAAATGTTAATAAACGGGTAGCAGTGGTGGCAGCTTGGCACAGCGGCGGCCCGATGAATAGGCGAGCGACGAATAGGGTGGCGGCGGCTTTGGCACAGCGGCGGCCCGATGAATAGGCGAGCGACGAATAGTAGTGACGGCAGCTTGGCACAGCGGCGGCCCGATGAATAGGCGAGCGACGAATAGTAGTGGCGGCAGCTTGGCACAGCGGCGGCCCGATGAATAGGCGAGCGACGAATAGGGTGGCGGCGGCTTTGGCACAGCGGCGGCCCGATGAATAGGCGAGCGGCGAATAGGGGGGCGGCGGCTTTGGCACAGCGGCGGCCCGATGAATAGGCGAGCGGCGAATAGGGTGGCGGCGGCTTTGGCACAGCGGCGGCCCGATGAATAGGCGAGCGGCGAATAGGGTGGCGGCGGCTTTGGCACAGCGGCGGCCCGATGAATACGTCAGCGGCGAGTAGTAGTGGCGGCAGCTTGGCACAGCGGCGGCCCGATGAATAGGCGAGCGGCGAATAGGGTGGCGGCGGCTTTGGCACAGCGGCGGCCCGATGAATAGGCGAGCGGCGAATAGGGTGGCGGCGGCTTTGGCACAGCGGCGGCCCGATGAATACGTCAGCGGCGAGTAGTAGTGGCGGCAGCTTGGCACAGCGGCGGCCTGATGAATACGCGCACGACGAATCGGGTGGCGGCAGCTTTGGCACAGCAGCAGCCCGATGAGTAGGTCAGTCGCCGTCAACGCAGCCCGAAGAATAGGGAGTATTGCTACAGCCCTCACTTGACCCTGCGTTCAGTCGCCGTCAACGCAGCCCGAAGAATAGGGAGTATTGCTACAACCCTCACTTGACCCTGCGTTCAGTCGCCGTCAACGCAGCCCGAAGAATAGGGAGTATTGCTACAACCCTCACTTGACCCTGCGTTCAGTCGCCGTCAACGCAGCCCGAAGAATAGGGAGTATTGCTACAACCCTCACTTGACCCTGCGTTCAGTCGCCGTCAACGCAGCCCGAAGAATAGGGAGTATTGCTACAACCCTCACTTGACCCTGCGTTCAGTCGCCGTCAACGCAGCCCGAAGAATAGGGAGTATTGCTACAACCCTCACTTGACCCTGCGTTCAGTCGCCGTCAACGCAGCCCGAAGAATAGGGAGTATTGCTACAACCCTCACTTGACCCTGCGTTCAGTCCAGTCCAGTCTCCACAAATAGTCAAGGCTTATTGTTTGGCTTACTAAGACTCAATTCAACCGAGGTTGCGCGCCTTTTCTTCCTCCCAATCACACTTGACTTACCAGCCATCAACAGAAGACTGATCCCGATTGTGTGAAATGCGTCTCCTTTTATACCTTTTTGGCTGGACAACGATTGTTGTTTTCTCATGACAGCAGCTGATCCCAATCTGACAGTTTTGCGTAGTTCCGCCATTTGCCACCAGGGGTTCCAATGTTGTATTTTAAGTATACTTCTTTCTACTAGGGGACATATTTTAATTCATTTTCAAACCAAAAAAAATATAATTCATAGTTGATGTATATAACATAAGTAAGTAAAAATGGTCTTTAAAATAATAATGTACCCCAAAAACGAAAGCATGACTTTTGGGCGTTACATGGCATCTCTTCCTCCCTCTGATTTTTGATTCCTTGATTTGCTTTCTCTATTGCTATTGGGTTTCAATAGCCAGGAAGCCCTAGGGTGTTATGTAACCTTTTATTTCTCCGACATGGGCACTTTGGTTCGACTATATCTCGGTCGAATAGGAAGGTATGTTAGAGACCAATTGCAGAAGTTCGGAGAGATACCTTCACTACCCCGTCTGCTGATATTATTATGCGGTACTGCTTGCCATCTTGTTTAACAATTCGCTTCAGTTTGTGTCCCTTTTTCCAATTGTTTTTAAACTTCTCGATACGGATTTGTAGGTTTTCGGGATAATTTGGCAGTTCGAGAAATGTGTTATCGTGTTGGGGCTATCTTGCTCCATCGTGATGTTGAAATTTTGAGAATTGCGATGGTCTTTGAAGTATGGGCTTATATTAGGACACTGATTAGTTTGGGTATTGTCAATTTAATGTCTAAAAATAAAATAAGAAATTATAATGAAATGGCATCACATAAACGTAAGTGGAACTACAATCAACATTCTACTTCTATGTCTACAATTTAATTTTGTTCTTCATAAAAAGGCTTAATTTCACTTAAGTGCGCGACGCGGGTGATGTTGTCTTTTCCTCGGACTACAACGATTACTGGAGATTGGAATTTTTGTACGACAAACGGCCCTCCGTATTTGGGCGCTAGTTTGGCGGCGAAATTTTCGACGGCCTTCGACTGAGGATGTAGACGAACTAGAACTTGCTCCCCAATCTTTGGTTTCCAAACTCGTCGTCTAAGGTTGTACTGTCTCCGCTGGTTTTGAGATGCTTTTGCCAAGTTTCGACGCACTATCTTAAATATTTCTTTCAACTCCTGGGCACGGTCTTCTGGTAAGACTATTCTAGCACCAGTTCCTGTTGTGAGCTGATCATATAATGCCTGGGGCAGTCGCGGTTCTCTTCCTTGTGTCAGGTATGCCGGCGAATATCCAGTGGATTCTGATGCACTAGTGTTTATGGCTAACATTATTTCGGGCAGCATATCGTCCCATGTATTATGTTGTTTCGAAACTTGTGCTATCATTGTTTTCACTGTCCGATTTGTCCTTTCAGTAGGGTTCTCTTGCGGGGTGTAAGGAGCCGTAAGTTGATGCTTTATACCCATTTCTGCTAGGAATTTTTCGAATTGGTTGCTAGTGAATTGGGTTCCGTTATCGGTTATCAATATTTTTGGAACCCCATATCTAGAAATAATTCTTTCTCTGCATGCCTTTATTAATCCCTCTGTCGTAGCCTTCCGCAATGGAACCAACTCCGTCCATTTTGAGAATCTATCCATAATAACGAGTAGCATTGAGTTACCGTGCTTAGATCGCGGTAGGGGTCCTACGAAGTCCGCACAAATAGTGGCCCATGGTTCCTCCGGGATTCTTATCAACATTTCCCCTGCTGGTTTCTGTTGGCTGACTTTATATTTTTGGCAACATTCGCACTGCTGGACATAACGTTTGATGTCCTGGAACATACCAGGCCAAAAATATCGGTTCGCCACCTTGTTGCTAGTCTTTCGCACTCCCAAATGACCTCCGGTGACACTGTCATGATTTTCTCTAAGGACCTGAATCCTTGATCCGGTGGGCACACACAGCTTCCATGGTGTGCAATCTTCATCGTTTATTTGCTTGGGAAAATGTCGATAAACATTTCCCTCAATGATTGTATAGTCTGGATACTTCTTCGGATTCTTGGTTATGGTTTCCTTCAACTTTTCTAGCCATGGGCACGGACTGGTGTCATATTTTACTGTGGCTAGGTCTAACGTTTCCAAAGGTGTTCTCGAAAGCGCATCCGCCACAACGTTCTGTTTTCCTCTACGGTATCTGATCAAAAAATTATATTGCTGTAGCTCGAGAGCCCAACGTGCGAGTCGACCTGTAGGGCTTTCAATAGAATTTAACCATTTTAGGGCCAAATGATCGGTAATAACTATAAACTGGTAACCCTCTAAATAGGGTCTCATGTGTCTAATGCCCCACAGTATGGCTAGACATTCCTTTTCAGTCGCTGAGTAGTTCTTTTCAGCCTGTTTTAAATGTCTGCTGGCGTAGGCTATGACACGTTCCACGTTATCTAACTCCTGTGTTAGAACTGCTCCAAGGCCATAGTTGCTGGCATCAGTTTGCAATATGAACGTCTTTGTGAAATCCGGACAAGCCAGAACGGGGGCTTCAGTTAACTTTGCTTTTAGGTCTGAGAATGCTTCTTGTTGTTCGGGACCCCATTTCCAGTGTTTTCCCTTTTTAAGAAGACTAGTCAATGGTTGTGAAATTGTTGCAAACTGTGGGACAAATCTTCGGTACCAAGATGCTACTCCAAGAAATCTTCGTACCTCCTTTACCGATGTTGGAGGTTTCATTTCCACTATTGCGGCAACTTTATCTGGATCCGTCTTTATTCCCTCGCTACTCACAACATGGCCTAAATACTTCGTTTCTTTTCTGAAAAATTCGCATTTCTCAATGTTTATTCTCAGGTTAGCTGATCGCAATCTTCTGAACACTTCTCTCAAGTTCCGCAAGTGTTCCTCAAACGTTTTTCCAATGACGATGATATCGTCAAGGTATGCAAAAGCGTGGGGGTCCATTTCAGGCCCAATCACACTATCTAATGCCCGTTGGAAGGTTGCCGGTGCTGAATGCAAACCGAAAGGCATCACTTTCCACTGATATAGACCTTTACCAGCTACCGCAAAGGCCGTGTATTTTCTGCTCTCCTTCGCCATAGGTATTTGCCAATATCCGTCTTTAAGGTCCAGGCTACTCACGTATTTGGCATCCCGTAGTCGATTCAGTATTGTGTCGATGCGGGGTAAAGGGTAGGCATCTGGAACAGAACGTTTATTCAATTGGCGAAAATCCATACAAGTTCTCCAATTCCCATTTTTCTTTCTGACTAATGTGATGGGGAAACAGTATGGGCTTGTAGACGGCTCTATACATCCTCGTTCTTCGAGCTTTCTCACTTCGGCATTAATCACGGCTTGCATTGCAGGATTTCGCGGAGCATATCTTAATTTAATGGGTCGATCGTCGGTCATTACAATCTTATGTTCAGCTATTGACGATAGGCCATTTAATTGTTGGAACTTAGGGAGTTCCTGTGCCAGAAAATTTTCAACGATCTCACATTGCGTTTTACTCAATTCATCGTTTAAGAATTTAGGTCTGGGGGATACATTATTCGTAGCTGTCATTGTATCTATTACCTCTTTTGATGGGGTTTCCTCTCCTATAGCCACGGTACAATGCTCCGTTGATGTGGTTGGCTTACTTAATTTGACACTTATACCGGCGCAGTGAATGGTCGTGTGGAACTGTTTTAGAAATTCCAATCCCAATATGATGTTTCCCTTGAATTGCGGCATGATGAGAAATGTAACATCTGAGCTTTGGTTTCCAAATGTAACAGGTAACACTGTTGATCTTGTGATGTTCACCGTGGTGCCGTCTGCGAGGATAACATTTGCCTCATGCCGTGAATAAGTAAACCTTTTCTTGATTTTTTCCGCAAATTCTCTTTTTATAAAACAGCTAGTGGCACCAGTGTCGACAGTTGCTTTAATAGCTTTCCCCTCTATTAAGACAGTTGCAGTAAGGCGATATTCTTCACATTGCAATGATGTAATATTCTGGTTACTCTTCTTTGCCGGGGGTTCATCCTGCTGCGTTTCTGGATTGGATGAGCTTTCGTTTAGCACTTGGTCACCTTGATTGGTGCAATACAGGTTATTTCTAGAGTTGTCCGCACGTCGATTATAGTTTTGTTGATTTCGAGGCTGTTCTGACCGAGAATTATTTGGTATGCTTTCGAGTTCGTCTGCCAAGGAGATCAATTCCGAAAGTGTGGTAAAGTCTTTACGGCGAATGTACCATTGATAATCCGAATGCGCGTTTCTAAAAATTCGTTCCAATTTTTGTTCTTCGGTCATATTGGTGTGCTGCATAAGATGCTGTATAGAGAGTACATATTCCTTAAACGGCTCCTTATTACGCTGTATCCTTCTCCTAATTTCATCCTCCAATTTCTCAAAGTATCTCGGTGGCAAAAAGAATTTCAGAAAATCACTCTTAAATTCGTTCCAGGTAGTCCAGTGTCGGTTGTTGTTCCTTAGCCAGATTAAAGCTTTACCTCGTAACAACTCTGGCATTACTTTAATTATTTGATTCAATTCCACGATGTACATTTCAGCCATTTCTTCTACACGTTCTACGAATCCAATAGGGTCCATACCATTTTCAAAAGTAATATTCCATTTTCGGATTTGGTCGAGAATTACGAGTAACGACGAATTATTGGATGGCTTGGGCGGAGAATCTTTTTGAAATCCATATTCGGGGTTTGTTGGCGACATCTTCTGTACTTTTTGATCGTTTGTTACCCCTGTGCTTGACTCTCCATGTGACCTTTCCGCGGAAATGTGGGGAAGGGCGTACTCTGTTTTTATTGGGGATAATACTATTGCTTCTGCTCCACACGGTGTTACGGTTATAAGGGGTTGTTTTGTGACGGCTCGCAATGTCGGCGATTTGGTCGGACTGGTACTTTCATGTTTGTTCTGCAACTCTATAAGCCGTCTGTATACATCGGCTTCATGGTCGTTGTGGAGAAATTTAGCCCATCTTTTTCGGAGATCGTCCACTTTTCCAACTGGATCAAGATTGAATTCAGTAAGATATGTTACCAAGTCTTCTTGCTTTAGCATATAGGCCCAGGAGACCTTCAACATTGTCTTTTCGTTTGACATTTTTTTTTTTTTTTTTTTTTTTTTTTTTTTTTTTTTTTTTTTTTTTTTTTTTTTTTTTTTTTTTTTTTTTACTTGTTTCAGTTTTTTTTTTTTTTAACTGTTTTTTTTTTTCACTGGGTTTTCATCTGTATTTGTCTAATTATTGTTCACTCATTTATTTATTCTTTCTCTCTTTTATAGTGCCTGCTCGGGCGCCATTGTGACGACGTGTTTTCACTTTGAAGCTGGGGTAGGTTCAGCGGGGGCCAGAGTCGTCACAAAAATTTATTTGTTAGGACATAAGGAGAGAGAGAGAGCGAAGCAAAAATATTTTCTTAAAACGTTATAAATTTATTTCCTTAAATAACACTAAACACTACACTAAACACAATAAAATCACGTTCAGAACTTTTTACGAAGAACACTAAATCACAAAGTTCAGTCGAAATGTTAATAAACGGGTAGCAGTGGTGGCAGCTTGGCACAGCGGCGGCCCGATGAATAGGCGAGCGACGAATAGGGTGGCGGCGGCTTTGGCACAGCGGCGGCCCGATGAATAGGCGAGCGACGAATAGTAGTGACGGCAGCTTGGCACAGCGGCGGCCCGATGAATAGGCGAGCGACGAATAGTAGTGGCGGCAGCTTGGCACAGCGGCGGCCCGATGAATAGGCGAGCGACGAATAGGGTGGCGGCGGCTTTGGCACAGCGGCGGCCCGATGAATAGGCGAGCGGCGAATAGGGGGGCGGCGGCTTTGGCACAGCGGCGGCCCGATGAATAGGCGAGCGGCGAATAGGGTGGCGGCGGCTTTGGCACAGCGGCGGCCCGATGAATAGGCGAGCGGCGAATAGGGTGGCGGCGGCTTTGGCACAGCGGCGGCCCGATGAATACGTCAGCGGCGAGTAGTAGTGGCGGCAGCTTGGCACAGCGGCGGCCCGATGAATAGGCGAGCGGCGAATAGGGTGGCGGCGGCTTTGGCACAGCGGCGGCCCGATGAATAGGCGAGCGGCGAATAGGGTGGCGGCGGCTTTGGCACAGCGGCGGCCCGATGAATACGTCAGCGGCGAGTAGTAGTGGCGGCAGCTTGGCACAGCGGCGGCCTGATGAATACGCGCACGACGAATCGGGTGGCGGCAGCTTTGGCACAGCAGCAGCCCGATGAGTAGGTCAGTCGCCGTCAACGCAGCCCGAAGAATAGGGAGTATTGCTACAGCCCTCACTTGACCCTGCGTTCAGTCGCCGTCAACGCAGCCCGAAGAATAGGGAGTATTGCTACAACCCTCACTTGACCCTGCGTTCAGTCGCCGTCAACGCAGCCCGAAGAATAGGGAGTATTGCTACAACCCTCACTTGACCCTGCGTTCAGTCGCCGTCAACGCAGCCCGAAGAATAGGGAGTATTGCTACAACCCTCACTTGACCCTGCGTTCAGTCGCCGTCAACGCAGCCCGAAGAATAGGGAGTATTGCTACAACCCTCACTTGACCCTGCGTTCAGTCGCCGTCAACGCAGCCCGAAGAATAGGGAGTATTGCTACAACCCTCACTTGACCCTGCGTTCAGTCGCCGTCAACGCAGCCCGAAGAATAGGGAGTATTGCTACAACCCTCACTTGACCCTGCGTTCAGTCCAGTCCAGTCTCCACAAATAGTCAAGGCTTATTGTTTGGCTTACTAAGACTCAATTCAACCGAGGTTGCGCGCCTTTTCTTCCTCCCAATCACACTTGACTTACCAGCCATCAACAGAAGACTGATCCCGATTGTGTGAAATGCGTCTCCTTTTATACCTTTTTGGCTGGACAACGATTGTTGTTTTCTCATGACAGCAGCTGATCCCAATCTGACAGTTTTGCGTAGTTCCGCCATTTGCCACCAGGGGTTCCAATGTTGTATTTTAAGTATACTTCTTTCTACTAGGGGACATATTTTAATTCATTTTCAAACCAAAAAAAATATAATTCATAGTTGATGTATATAACATAAGTAAGTAAAAATGGTCTTTAAAATAATAATGTACCCCAAAAACGAAAGCATGACTTTTGGGCGTTACAACAGAAAGAGAAAGGATAATCCGATTTTGCTCCCACTTTGAAATTCGAATCTTTGCATCCTAATATTTGCGTCAGTGCTAGGTCATGTGTGAAAATGGACAATATCGGTTTACTCCATCAAGTACCTCCCTCACAAAAGGTGAAAATTTTGAATAATTACAACTCTCACAAAATGTTACGTAAGTGTCCGATTGTCCGTAAATTTCACACCAAGGTCTGGTGTGAAGATGGACAATATCGGTCCACTTTTTTTGGTACCTCCCCCACAAGTGGTCAAAATTTTTAAACAATATATTTTTTGCACAAAAAGAGAAAGGATAATCTGATTTTGCTCCAACTTTGTATATCCTAATAATTGCGTTAGTGCTAGGTCACTCCGTCTGGTACCTCCCCCACAAACGCTCAAAATTTTGAATAACCATGAAGTTCATAAAAAGCAAAATCAATATCCGATCCATACCAGATATGGTACATCTCAATATTTCCATCAACACAAGATCTGTTATAAAGATTGTAGAGATCGGACCATTTCTTTTGCTACCTGCCCCACAATGGGTTCAAAATTTTGAAAAGCATAACTCTCAAAGAAAGTGAAATAAGCATCCAACTCTGTTCAAATTTCACGCATCCAAATATATTTGCTAACGCTAGATTTGTTGTGAAGATGATATATATCTGCCAACCCTTCTGGTACCTCACCCACAAAGGGACAAAATTTTCAATACTTTTATCTGTATAGTTATCTTGGTAAAAATTTATTCCTTAAGGAAAGAGTAGAAGAGTGTTGTATATTTAGGACAATATTTCAACAAGGTCGCAATCCTTCTTATCGGTTACATATCAAAGAATCCTAAAACATGGCGAGCCAAAAAAACTTTTAAGTTGTCTACACCTTCTTTCTAACACAAGAAAGTTCTCCCTACATTACCTGGTAAAGTAAACACAGCAATGCAGCCGAAAATATATATTTCCAAACTTGAAGTTGTTAAACATCATCATCTTCGAGTCGCACGAATGTCGTCTCAACACGTGCCGACAATATTTTACAACTATTCAAACAAACATCATTGCTTACTAACCAAAAAAGTCATAATATTGGAAATTCTCTCAGCATCGATCAGCCAAGACAAAGTTATGGATGGATTAACTATAAAACAGCATCATATCACCTCAAACAGCATCATTCATCATTTGTTCTCAGCAACAATCAACTTGCACTGAGAATTCATTCATGGGAGTCCCAATGAATCTAATACTAATCCTTCTCTGTGTAACCCTTTTGGGTTCCAACGCTCTGGTCAATGGTTTCTTCTTCAAGGGTGGCGGCAGTGGTGGTGGAGGTGGTTTTGCCACCAAACTTTGTGCCATGGGTAAAACACAATTCTGTGTAACACCAGCACCACCACCAGCAACGGCAACCGCAACAGGCACAGCAACAGGCACCGTTACAACGCCCACAACACCAACGACTCCCACAACACCGACCACGCCGACGACACCAACTACCCCCACAACAACTGGCACAGGTACAGGTACCGCGCCCACTACCACTGGAACCACCTCAACTTCAACTGGTGGTGGAACTTCACCTACCACCGGCACAGCGCCACCTACGAGTCCCACTGCTCCAACCTCACCCACCACCGGTGGCGGGACTTCGCCAACAGCTACATCTCCTCCGGCTACCTCACCACCGGCCACTTCTCCACCAGCTACCTCACCAACAGGCAGCTCACCACCAGCCACATCACCCTCAGATACCTCACCGCCTGCTACATCACCACCAGCTAGCTCACCACCAGCCACTTCACCTCCTGCCTCTTCACCACCAGCCACTTCTCCACCTGCAACCTCTCCACCTGCAACCTCACCGCCTGCCACTTCTCCACCTGCAACCTCTCCACCTGCCACCTCGCCGCCTGCTCCAACAACTCCTCGTTTCCTGGCTCTCGATGAAGTCGATGAGAGAGAAATGAAAGAAAACGGAGACGTTACTGATGCTGCCGCTGCTGATGATACCGATGCTGAAAGTGAACGTGCTCGTCGCCATCGTCATCTGAGAAAGGTGCGCCGTACCCGTCGCAATCGCAACAAGGTTCGACAGGTGCGTCGTCGTAATCGCAATCGTAAGGTACGCCGCAATCGTAAGATACGCCGCAATCGTAAAGCTCGTCGCAATCGTAAAATTCGTCGCAATCGCCGCAAGATTCGCCGCAATCGCAGGAAGCGCCTACAAAGACGTCGCCGCATTGCCCGTCGCAACAGGAGGAACAGAAGCGGTTAAATGGGCAGACAATTCCCCTCATGAAAGACACTTTCCCTCAACAGAAAATTATGAAAAATGAATAAAAAATATTCCAAAAATTAAATAGTTATTAGTTTTTTTCTTTGATGCGGGGCACTTTTATGGGACCTTATGGAACTTTAAAAAATCCACGTCCATGGGACCATATGGATTTTCAAAAAAAATTCTTTAAAAAATCCACGTTTATGGAACCTTATGGATCCTTAAAAATTCTTTAAAAATCCACGTTTATGGGACCTTATTGATCTCTAAAAAATTCTTTGAAAAATCCACGTTTATGGGACCTTATGTATCTTTAAACAAGTCTTTAAAAAATTCACGTTTATGAGACCTTATAAATCTCTAAAAAAATTCTTTAAGAAATCCACGTTTATGGGACCAAATTGATCTCTAAAAAATTCTTTAAAAAATCCACGTTTATGAGACCTTATGGATCTCTAAAAAATTCTTTAAGAAATCCACGTTTATGGAACCTTATGATTCTCTAAAAACTTCTTTAAGAAATCCACGTTTATGAGACCTTATGGATCTTTAAAAAATTCTTTAAAAAATCCACGTTTATGAGGCCTAATGGATCTTTAAAAAATCTAAGTTTATGAGGCCTAATAGATCTTTAAAAAATTCTTTAAAAAATCCACGTTTATGAGGAACCACGTTCATGAGGCCTAATGGATCTTTAAAAAATTCCTTAAAAAAATCCACGTTTATGAGGCCTAATGGATCTTTAAAAAATTCCTTAAAAAAATCCACGTTTATGAGGCCCAATGGATCTTTAAAAAATTCCTTAAAAAATCCACGTTTATGAGGCCTAATGGATCTTTAAAAAATTCCTTAAAAAAATCCACGTTTATGAGGCCCAATGGATCTTTAAAAAATTCCTTAAAAAAATCCACGTTTATGAGGCCTAATGGATCTTTAAAAAATTCCTTAAAACATTCACGTTTATGAGGCTTAATGGATCTTTAAAAAATTCCTTAAAAAAATCCACGTTTATGAGGCCTAATGGATCTTTAAAAAATTCCTTAAAAAAATCCACGTTTATGAGGCCTAATGGATCTTTAAAGAATTCCTTTAAAAAATCCACGTTTATGGGACCTTATGGATCTTTATAAAATCCACGTTTTTGGGACCTTATTCATCTCTAAAAAATTCTTTAAAAAATCCACGTTTATGGGACCTTATGGATCTCTAAAAAATTCTTTAAAAAATCCACGTTTATTGGACCTTATGGATCTTTAAAAAATTCTTTAAAAATCCACGTTTTAGAAAATTTGTGGATCTCTTAAAAAGTCTTTAAAAAATCCACGTTTTAGGGAATTTATGGATCTCTAAAAAATTCTTTAAGAAATCCACGTTTATGAGACCTTATGGATCTCTAAAAAATTCGTTAAGAAATCCAAGTTTATGGGGCCTGATGGATCTTTTAAAAATCCACGTTTATGGGACCTTATGGACCTTTAAAAATTTCTTTAAAAAATCCACGTTTATGGGACCTTATGGATCTTTAAAAAATCCACGTTTATGGAACCTTATGGATTTTCAATAATTCTTTAAAAAATCCACGTTTATGGGGCCTAATGGATCTTTACATTTTTTTTAATCCACGTTTATGGGACCTTTTGGACCTTTTAAAAAATCCACGTTTATGGGGCGTAATGGATCTTTAATTTTTTTTTTTAATCCATGTTTATGAGACCTTATGGATGTCTAAAAAATTCTTTAAAAAATCCCCGTTTATGGGACTTTGTGAATTATTAAATTTCTCCAAAAATCCACATTTTAGGCGCCTTATGGATCTTTAATAAATCATTTATATAACCCAGGTTTTCCTTTGAGACAATATTTCGTTTAAAACCACATTTTGTTGAACCAAGGATCTTAATTTTTTCTTAAAGATGCTCTAAGTTTCTTCCATTAAATTATATATACTCTCCGTTCCATTAATGCTGAGAATAACATAAATTAGACAGTTCTTACCAAGTTTTTTTTTTTGTTTCCATCGAGTTTGAGATATTTCAAATCTCTACTTACTTAATATACATCCCATACCTATGTAAATATCCAGAAACCCCGTTCAGTTAACAACCCTTCAATTTTCAGAATTTCTAAAATTTCCAATTTATCTTCTTCGATCTTCTTATCTTTGATATTTCTTCTGACTTTAAAATCTATGTCAAACTTACACGAGCATTAGCTGAATTTGATTCTTGTTTACTTCTTTATGTTCACAAATTATACAAGATCTTCCAGACATAATTCATAGGCTGTAAAACTAAGGATGCCCTTTATATTCTGTGTAAATAGTAAATATTTACTTCTGAAGCCGAAAAGACTGGCACGTGCCTTTGGAAATAATTTAAAGTTTGGTTTTCGAGGTTTCAATTTGAAAACTATGCCACACGTGTGCTGGCTGTTATAAAATTATACTTTATTTGTTTTGATATTGAGTTTGAGATCTTGAAGACATTTGTACAAGATCTTCCAACCATCAGTTGGATCTCATGTTCCACAAATTCAATATTTAAAGTAACTATTTGCTGAAAGTGCATGAGCCACAGTTCAGTTAATTTCAAAATAATTTTTTTCCGTT